ATTTCTTAAGTTAAATTAAGTAAACTTTGAGCTTAAGCTAGAACCGCACAACTACAATATATACAGGAATACAAGCCGCTGGACGATGAACGCTTCTTTAAATAAGTCAAGCTAATAGCGCATTATATGCAATCCATTTCGGGTATCGCAGAGAATGCTGAACGAGTGAAAGTCCCAACATGCTGTCATATGGAAACCCATATTAGTGAGCACCACAATGTACTCAAAGAGTGCGAAGAACGTGTAAACTATAAAAAGGAAAATTACTTGAATTAGTGATGGACCATCCAGGAGAATATCGAATCTATATCGAAAGCTTACCACCAGCCTCACAGCGTGCGTTGTGCCGCATGAAACAGTAGCCGGCGAGGCCAAAGGCAAGCACATTGATCAGGAAGAGATTTCGCTTGTAGCGCAACGATTTCTCTTCGTGTGGCAGGAGAACGGATTTGCGTGCACTCCTATTCAATAGATAGGACAGTAGCATATAGCATTCACTGCAGGCTATGAACACCACAAACGAATTCCGATGGATCTCATAGTTGTCGGCCGATGTCCACAACGATAGACAGAACAGAGCTAAATTCTCGATGACATTCAGAGTGCAGGCCAGGATGCCAAGCATGCGACGATTGCGCTTGATGTGCTCCCTATAGTACTCCAAATACATGCGTGTCACAGTCAGACGCAATGGGAGATGCAAGATGATAGCCAAACGCCAAACAGTTTTTTGTGGCTCATAATTTCCAATTGCCGCCGACACCGACGGCAAGTAGTTAGCCACGTCGCAATGCGTAAACGTGGAGCGTGCAAAATCAAATATCAGGGACCACACTACACAGAAACAAAACGCGCTCAACGGCAAACTGAGTGCCGTCAGCGCTAGCCGGGCAAATGTTATGTGAAAGAACACCCGTTTAGGATCGTTCAGACGCTCGTATGTAGGCAACATGGTTGGCGGGTGAAGCTTTTATCTGTAATTTATGGCTCTCCGTGGCGTCTTCTCATAACTTCTACACGCCCAATTGTTGCCGCAATCAGCTTTTAACCTTTTGGTCGAAGAAACATCTTTAATTGCAGCGCCAGCGCGTAAACAAATGAAAAAGGCTGGTATGCAGCTGCAGAAAACATATTGCGGGTGGAAAGAAGTTCATCATCAATGTATCTAAATATTATCATGTGATATTGTTATTGAGCATTCACTTAGTCAAATAAAATAAGTATAGCTGCAATAATTATATTTTGTACATTTATCTAATTAATTATATTTTACAGTATTTAAACACTATGGTTAGTGATTTAACTGAATATTTAAGCTGCATGAGCTACATACTGACTTTAATATCCATGTATCGATATGCACTGTCGTGATATCGTGGTGATATCGATACTTCAGCGAGTGTTATGCTAAAAAAAAAAAAAACAAATCCCAAAACAACGCGCTCTTTTACTTTATTGTTTTATGAGAAAAGTACCGCAATAACATGGATATACTTTTGGCCAACGTAAACAGCCTGCAGTTCAAGGCAGAGCGCGATCTCATCGAACAGGTGGGAGCTATACCACTGCCGTTCTATGGCATGGACAAGTCCATTGCCGCCGTCTGCAATTTCATCACAAAAAATGGCCAGGAATGCGACAAAGGCAGCGCCTGCCCCTTCCGGCACATACGGGGCGATCGCACCATCGTCTGCAAGCACTGGCTGCGTGGCTTGTGTAAAAAGGGCGACCAGTGCGAATTTCTGCACGAGTACGACATGACGAAAATGCCAGAGTGTTATTTCTATTCGCGCTTCAATGCCTGCCACAACAAAGAGTGCCCGTTCCTGCACATCGATCCCCAGAGTAAGGTAAAGGACTGTCCATGGTACAAGCGTGGATTTTGCCGACATGGGCCGCACTGTCGACATCAGCATCTGCGACGTGTGCTATGTATGAACTACCTGGCCGGCTTCTGTCCTGAGGGACCCAACTGCAAACACATGCATCCACGATTCGAGCTGCCGCCCCTCGCTGATCTTAGCAAGGATCAGATGCACAAAAAACTACCCACGTGCCACTATTGCGGAGAGCTTGGCCACAAAGCGAACTCATGCAAACAATATGTGGGCAGCCTGGAGCATCGCAATAATATAAATGCCATGGACCACAGTGGGGAGAATAATGATGATGGTGCTCCGAATCATCAACCGCCGCCGTTTATAAAAGTGCCCACGCCGCTAGAGGAGATCACCTGCTACAAATGTGGACACAAGGGCCACTATGCCAACAAGTGCCCCAAGGGTCATCTGGCTTTCCTATCGAATCAACATAGTCATAAATAGTTTTAAGCCCTGCATACCCTTTTGTACATCTAAGGATACAGTTAATAGTACAGATTAAATCTTCCGTCAAACCATCATGCATGTCATACATTCCAGCGATAACAAACGGGTTTGCGATAAATCATCGTTTCGACTGGGGTATGTTCTTCGTTTAAATATATAAATAGTTTATATTACAACACTGATCAGTGATTACAAATAACATTCACGTTAAGGAAAATTAGAAGAAATTATAATGCAATCGCTTGCTTAAATATACAGAATCTATCTTAAAATTATTTACATTACGATAAGCAATCGATACATTATACGAATCAATGGATTAAAATTTCGAACCCAAGTGCAAATTATATTAGAATTCATGAATATAATATAATCGCCCAACTAATTAATATATATTGAAAAAGCAAATACTGTTAACGGTAAATAGAGGATTAAACATTTGCGTTTATCGCTATCGATATTAAATAAATCTTTAATTATCGTTAGTAACTGCAAACAAGTGAAAATATATCGTTTAGCTGGCTACTTGCCTACGCAGTTTGCTGCGCAACACAAAAACAAAGTGAAAAATATAATTGAAGAGTAAACATCACCCAAGTGTAGTTTACATAAAACGTCTAGGCATCACATTTTCGGTCAGCTTAAAATAAAAATTCGATACTAAATTGCTCAAAAACCTAGAAACACATTTTGAACGTCGGAAAAAATGACGATTCTAGCAAAATTAACAGGTGAAAAAAAGGATTTGGAGAAGGTTCCGCTTCCATTACATCTCAACGATGAAGCTATTATGCATCATGGCTCACTGATCAGTGTAAGTAAATAGAGATAGTAAGCATTTTCTTTTGCGCAATAGTTTCATGTGTCCTTGCGAGCCCATATTTTCTACATGTCCTTCGTGCCCATGGCTCTACAAGTTTTCGTTTTCGCTTGCCTTTGCGCGCGAGCCTTTGTGTGTGTGGGTGTTTGTAAGATTTTCTATATACATGCAAAAGTATGTATGTATGTGTATTTGTGCTCTCGGCAGCATGCATATTTATCGATTTTTCACATGGAATTCCCATGTGTGTGTCCTTGCACTCCTTCCCTTGCTCCATTTAAGGTCGCACAGCTTTGGCATTGCCAGTCGCCAGCACGATTTCGGTTTACCCCGACAGCCCATCATCCATTTAAAACGCCCTCTTTTTTAGCCCAAATATATATTGCATTATGTTTTTGTGCTCATTGTGAATGATTCCAGTACATATTTTCCAGTAGCATATGATATATGTATGTATGTATGTACATACCATTATATGTACAAATGAATAGGTTTATATACATAGACATATGTATGTATGTGCGTATGTTGATTCATATATAACTGTGTGCGTGTGCTTTTGCGAATATGCATTTTGCAGCTGAGCACACACATAAATATGCATGTATATCATTGCATTTGCACTTTATTCCTCTTCGTCACCAATCGCGCAGCTAGCTTCGAGCACAAAAGCAATTTTGCCCTTTGCTCGTCAGCGATAATAACTGCACACAAACACGACACATGTAAATAGCTTATATAGTGTTGATAAAAAGTAGAGAAAACTAGCCACACAGCCAACAACGGAAAAAATGCTAGTCATAAATATTTTATGGATAGCTGTATCATGAATTGTTTAAAGAATGACGAGCTGCAAAACAATATACAATATGTATAAAATTTTGTTAATTCATGAACTGTAAATACTGTTTTGCAGTAAATATACTAAAACTGCGTAGTTAACTTGGCAGGTTTGATCATTTTATTTTTCTTACATACATATCTATTTACGTGTATGCATACATACATACATGTGCATTGTTTACTTATTGTTGTGCTTCTTTATTGACTTTTTATATACAGTTATGTACATATGTCCCTTTGATATGAGATAAGGAAATCAAAAACAAAAATACCTCCTACCGGTGCTGAAGTACATAGTACATACATACATATGTATGTATGTACTTGTATACACATACCGTAATTACTCATTGGACAATTGAACACCATTTGCTGTCATTAATTATTAGTCATTGGAAATAACAGTAGTTGCTATAAAAAGAATAAATCTGGGGTATACTACTGAGTACATATATGTATATATATTTATAATAACACTAAATATAATTGAACTAACTGAGGTTTATCTTGATTTGGAATATAATCTTTAAATTATATAAAAATTATGTGTGTTAATTGTTATCGTTCTTTGATTGCAGCCGAAAGGAGCGTACAGCGATGCCGATACCGAATCAATGGTTTTCAATCGGCCGCAATATAATTGCCTAAAGTCGTTTCTTTTGTTCCTGATCGCCATTATCGTAATGCTTATGGGCGTACTGGGGGGCTGGACACTTTATCGTCTATATGCCCCGAATCATTCCAGCATGCGCTATCACGCCCTCTGCGACATACCATATAAGGAAGACTCGATGGAATTGCCACGTTTCTATGCACGCAACGACGACTCTTTCGCCTTGAACTGGCGCTCGCTATTGCCACAATTGTCGGGATCCCCAAGTGCGAGCAACAGTATGGGCGGCCAGTTCGATGAGCTAGTCAACGATAACTTCTTCCGCGAGGAAATCGAGTTGAATAGCGGCGATGACGATGGCTATTCCAAGATCGATGTACCGGACTTTAAGGATGGTCGCCACGGGCGCTTCATGCATGACTTTAAGGAAAACCAGTCAGCCATTATTGATACCACCACTAATCGGTGCTTCATCATGCCACTGGACCGAGACACCACACTTCCGCCCAGCAGCTTTGTGGATCTTATGCAGAAAATGGGATCAGGATACTATAACATTGATACGGAGCGGGTTCGCCGCAATATGCGTGTCATTACACCACGTATCACCGATCTTTCGGTCATCTCGGAGCGCATAGCCAACGAATGCTACGACATGAAGGTGTACATGATGGAGAAGTTTGTATCTGGAGGTAAGTCTTAACTTGTATTCGCCAGATTGGCATGTCCGGCCCTATACTGTAACACATATCCTTAACGAAACCTTTTGCCTTACAGTGGCCAAGCGATCAGCTGATCCTCTGCCAGATGCCGGCAAGTATGCAGCTTTCATGGGAAAGGGCGTGGTCGAGTACGATCTGTCAAACATAGCCGAGGTTGAAGCCTACGAGGCGAACGAGGCCCAGCAGCATCAGGCCGCTTAGGCTCCTATTGGTCGTATGCTCCAAATGTTTTAAATTATTAACATAGAAACAAGAAAAAAAAAAACTGAAAGCAAAAAAATACGAATGGACAGCAACCATAACAAAGACAAACAAAATAGTATTGATTTCTGTAAGTGTGTGTGCGTGTGTAAACAAAATGATCTGTAGGCAACTGCCTCAACTTTTAGTCTGTAGTTCGACTTTGGGATAGGCGCGTGATGAATTTTCGATTTAGAGACGACTTCGGTTTAAAAACACGTAAATATCAACATGATTTCTGCGGGTTTAATTATATGTGTCATAATGCAATCTTAATATTTATATGCATATTTCTGATTTATTTAAATTTGCATTGCCTTTTAGTTAGTTTAATTGGATTTAACAATGAGTTTTAAATTAAGATCTCATTTACAAAATATGATAAAATATCTCTTTAATTTGAGCACAATTAATTATCAATTACTCCGCTTGCCAAATAACAATTTAGGTAAATTGATTTATTTAAATTTATTAATTTTGCAATTGGTTTTTAATTAGTTTTAAATTATGCATACATGTTAGCAAGAAAAATTAGTAAATTATTTTAATTGTTTTTAAAAATTAATTATTAATTAAACTAATTTACTCTCTGTATATGTATATGTATGTATATGTCACGTGTTCTTAAAAATATCATTATCAACTCGCGTTGGGTCGTACGTGTACGTATCAATAATCGCAAAATTTGTAACGCGTGTATCCCTAAGGTCGATGTAACCATACTTATCAACTGTTAACAGATCGTATTGTATTGGCCAAGTGGCTCGACGAGCTATCCATGGCTCGCGTTGAGCTCAATAATAACAATAAACGAAAAATCATATATATAACGATAAAACAAAATGAAACCCTGTTAAGAAATGTACCTAGAAAGCAATTAAATGCGATTGACGAAATTGTGACAAATACTAAAGAAACGAAAAATAACAAACAAAAGAACAGAGGGTGCGATTTGGGCTTGGAATGTAACTAGGGAGTTATCAGTAGAGTTTTAGGATTCCAGCAACTTTCTATTGTATATGAGAATAAAGGGTAATCCTAACAAGAAATTAGAAATATAATTAAACACCCAAATCCAACTTGAAACATATATGAAAATAAAATACACACTGCATTCAATTCCAAGTACATATTTTATATTATATATACTCTTTAACTCTATAAACTATAAATGCGTACGCGTGCTAAATAAATATTTATATAGAACGAAAAATCGAGAAGCAAAAAATAATGAAAAATCCACAGCTTTTACATTTGCTAACGAAAGAAAGAAAATTTTCAAAATTATCAGAAAACAAAAGATAAAAGCAAATTAATCTAAATGTTCTTTAATCGATTTCAATGTATTAAAAACGCGAATTTGTGATCTTTAAATCAATCTGGTTTATTTTAAATATGTGGTCTGCATAGCGCTATAGTATGATCCACGCCGTAGGCCACCTTTAGAACCTTGCCATTGATGGCCGCCTTGAAGGGGAAGAATTGATCCTTCTTGTGACCCAGACCCAGGTGGCCGAAGCGATTCTTTCCCCACATAAACAGATCTCCGTCAGAGTTCACGGCGCCCATGTGAAAGACTCCGCAGCCGATGGAGACCACAGTTGTTGCATTGCTAAAATCATTTCGACCGAATAGCGGTGGCAGCAGATGCTGAGGCTTTGAAGTTTGATCCACAAACGGGCCAAAGCCCAAGATGCCATAGCCCCAGGTGTAGACGAGGCCCTGATCATTGAGTGCCATGCAAAAGGAACCGCCCGCTGCCACATCCTTGACCTTGCCCAGGCCCTTGGTCAGCGTGAGCGCTCGAGGTGTGCAGATCTGAGTCACTGCATCGGCCGCATCATCTAGCTGGCCATACTCCGAATTGCCCCAGCCAAAGACATCGCCCTTATCGTTGAGCGCCAGCACACAATCGGATGCGCAGGCGATGCGCACAATGCGCTCCTTCTCGATGTCACCGCCTATGAGCGTTATCTGGCCAGCACTGTAGTAGTTGCCCTGTCCCGTCTGGCCGTCGGCACCCCAGCCGCAGGTGTAGACACGTCCCAGTTTGCTCAGCAGCATCGTATGATCCTGTCCACACTCCACGGCGACAAGCTCATCGTCCGCTCCGCAAATATCGCGCTGGGCTATGCGATGGATGAGCGCACTGCCAGAGTATTTCTCTTCTTCGATAATGGAACGGCCGCACTGGCCATACGAATTGTTGCCCATGGTAAAGACGGTGCCATTCTGAGTGAGCACCACGAGATGGGCTCGACCTGCCGACATGCTCTTCACCTGCATATCCTCATCCGTTTCGTCCTGCAGGCGTGGCAGCTGAATTGCTGTTGGATAGATAATCACATCCAAATTAGCCGGATCCTTCTTATTGCCCTTCACTTGGTAGCCCAGCTGTGAGTCTGTGTTGAGGCCGCTGCCAAACAAACTCAGCCCATCCGAACGTTTCACTGCGAACGCCGTAAAGCCATAGCCGGCTGTGACATCCGTGATTTCATTATTATTGGAAAATTGCAGCCGCGTTGGGTGATGCACCATTTCCGTGTATCGCTCTTTGGCCTTCTTCACATTGGTTTGCAGCCCCAGAGCGCCAGTCTCCTGGAAGCCCCACACGTAGACCCGATTTGTATGCGAATCAGTTGTCTTTGGTTCATAATCTAAAATGAAAACATCTGATTTACACATGCAAATGCAACGGCTAAGCACGTTATACTTTTTATTTTGCTCTGGTCTTGTGACAGGACGACACGCTTTGCTTTTGCTGTATACTGACGGCTTAGTTGGACACTTGCCCACTTTGAGGACTTTAATATTTTTAAACTTAACATTTTTAGCGGTTTTAATATAAATAAGTTGAATGCATCGTTCCGAGTGCATGGATTATGTACAATAATAAACCGCTTATCGATATATTTATACATTGTGGTATTTTTTATGTAGTGGTATTTTTCAATTTTAAATTTGTATCGTATCCATCTATATTAATACAATGTTAATGTTTAATAAAAGCTCCTACATCTTAACAACTGCCTTTTTTCTATTAACTCTTTACGGGGTAATAGGATAAAATAAAACAATCTGTTTGCGCAATCTTGCGTTGCTAAAACAATATCATCCCTAGCACGAGCTTATTTATGTATCGATGCCACAGCTGTTTAATAAAAGTACTCGATGCGTTCGAGACAGAAATATCGATGTGGGCGACACATTATTGCTATCGAAATTGTAGAGAGCGACGAAGAAGTAGCTCCGGTAAAATTGATAAAAAGAGTTGTTCGACCGCGAAATAATTCTTACAAATTATTAAATTACATACATTAAATACCTCGAAGTGCGGTTGCGTCATAACGACAAACGAAAAGCGTTGAACAAAAATATAAACGTCTGTACCCAGTGATTTTCGACTGCCCAGCATAATATATATAGATATATATATAAGTATATTATATACATACATACGAACAGATGTACACATAATGTACACTTAAAGTAATATTATTACAGTGAACGAGTGTTAAGTGCAAATTTAGTGTGTGGCAAGCGCCTGAAAAACATTGAAACATTGTTTGGAGTTAAGTGAAGATAGTGCATTTTATATGGTCGCTTCTGCTGCTGCACAAAGGGCTGGGGCCGTTGGCTGCTGCTAGGAGTTGCCGTCGTCATCGCAGTCGCCGTCGCCGTCGCCAAAAACTTTCGTCGTCTCCGGTAGGTACACACAAAATATACGGCTGCTCCTGTTTAGCTCCTGTTTTGTGTCTCGCTCTCACGCGTTCGCGTCCTACGTCTCCATCACTCCCTATCTCTGTCTTTTCGTGCTCTCTCTCTCTCTTAAAAAGTGCTCGTATTTGTTATGTTTGGTTTCACTGCTCTCACCATTTGCATATTTATCGATTAACAGTGCCGTTTCGATGTACAACGAACGGTACATTTCCCAGGATAACACACAAATATAGGTGTTTAGAAAAGGAAGCGAAAATTGCGTATCTGTCTATGCTCTCTTGCACTTTCACAGTTGCTCTCTTGCGGTCGCGTCGCTCTGTATGCATGCGCGTCAGCAACCCCCATTCGACCTACCCATACTCTCTCTCTCTCTCTCTCTCCTATTTACTCTCGCTCTAGCATTTCCCATTGAGCACAATCCTTTTTATGCAACGCCAGTCCGTTCATGTTTTCTTTCCGTATAAGCAGGCTTCTTTTGCAGTTTTTGGTTACCAGGGTCGTTCGTCGCCATGCACACCGCCCGTGGCTATATATGTGTCAGCAATCTGTTTTCGCCACAACCCAACCCCCAACCCCAAGCCCTTATGCACCCAAACAACCACCGCCCGAACTTTAGATGCGCAGTTCACTTCGGGGCACAATTCAACCCACGACCCAAAATCCACATGTCACACAGGTTTCTCTTCTCGCTCAGCTTCAATTCTAAAATCCAAACTCGAGCGACAACAACAACAACAACAACAACAACAGCTGCGCAAAATAACTAAATCAACTCGAACGCACTGAATGGAGTTCCGTTCTTCTTTTCTAACAGTGTTGCCGGCATAAGCTATAAAAGGCTAAATTGATATATGTAAATGTCTGGAAAATAAACTCTTAAACTAAGTTCTTATCTTAAATAGTTAAATATACCGAGTTCTTAAACGAAATGTCTGTAGTCTTTGTTATGCAAAGCAGCTAGCGGAAAAAATATTCCCAATTTAGCCATAAAAAATCTTGAAACAATAGCTGAGACACAAAATTCCAACTATGAATGACGGACTAACGAGAGCTTTCACTCAGAGTTTAGTTAGAATTGTTTAATCACTTTTCCAGCAACTCAACTTTTTAATCAGAAAAATTATGCGACAATGAAATTATCAACATTGTTAGGGGAAAAAAAAAAAAAAAAACAGAAATAGTTAGTCACTTTCTAGCTAAATTATCGAGCATTTCCGCTGCACTCCCTGAGAGGAAGACCTTGGTCTCTCTTTGCATAGCTATTACGCAGCTAAAGTGTCAGCACCGTCTCACAGTGGCCATGCCCACATAATATACGAGCACATAGAGACAGAGATGCATATGCATCTAAATATACTTATATGTTTACAGTTTTATGCCCGAGCTGGCTGCGGCTGTGGCTGCCCTTTTGGCTTTGATAAGACTGCGCCCTATCCCCACTTCAATTTACTTGTTTCATGTCGATTTTTAGTGCATTTCGTTGGCCCATTTTCGGTGATTTAGGAGCTTTGACGCCCCTAAAAACTCTTGAATGGATTCTGAAAGAAAGACAAAATAAAGATTTGTTTACTCTGTTTTCAATTAGTTTCAATAATTTTGTTTGAGTGTTTCTTGATATGGTTGTTGCGTCTCCAATCCGTTGAACGGAACGAGCACTTCCTATCTGTGAACCGTTGCCGAAACAACTTTCCGCCTCATAAACCCGTCGAGCACGTGCAACTCTTTCAATTTTCTCTTTGACGAACTGTCTCCGACAATCGTGCGCCGTCAAGACAAAGGCGCTGCTACCTTGGCAATGTCTAAGCCCCCAACAACAACAACAACAACAACAACAATAATAATAATAACGCATACAACAAATGCGACAAAATAGATCGAAGCAACAGCGAGTGAGCTTAGTTCAATGGCCATAAAAAGTAAACCCATCCAAGCATTTCAATGTTTTAGCTCTGCTGGTGGCCTTGCGCTAGAGCAGCGCAGCACGAAGGCACGTTTACTAGCATAATATGTAAATTTCATATAGATTGTATAGAAAACAAACAAATGCAAGCAAAGTGGCTGGCAAGATTTGCCAGTCACTTACCTGGATTGTATTTACAATACATACATACATATATTTTCAGTGTGAGCACAGAGCACAGTTTTACATACGTACTAATAAATCATAACCAACAAAGCTACTTAGCTTATCTGCATTGTAAATATTTACAATGTGATTAGAAAGAGTGCATAATCAAATTCTATATATAAATATTATTGGTAGCTTCCCACATGTTTTATCAGCCTATTAATATGTATTATTGGTAACTTCCACTTCAGGCTATTTGTTCTGCTTATCTATAACAATCGGAAGTTTATTAATCATGAGAATAATATGCCATTGTTATAGTAACTTATTCTTAGTCAGACGATCGACATTTAAATTGAGTGTTTTGTCCAAGTTATAATATCTCATCACATATTTAAAAGTCCCTGGTAAATGGATTCCCATGACAGCGCTACGAACATGAGAAAACGAAACGAGTCTTGCGCAAATATGAATGACTATGAAGTGATTCTTTCGCTGTGCTCAGCTTTCTCTCAAAAGCGAAATGAATACCCCAAATAGACGGAAACGCTCTGACAATGATACGAAAGATAGAATCACATTCTGTCAAAAAAAAAGAGAAGAGATAGAAATAGAAATAAAAATAATAAATGGCTTTCGCCTTCACTCTCGACGCACAGCGATTTTCTCTTATCGCTGATGACAACACTTTTTCATAGGAACCAAATGCTTGTTGGCGAAGGCGTTGGTCGACACGCTAATTAAGCTGCTGCAACGCTCGACCTTCAACCCGCTCTGTTGGCCAACTGTCAAGCTGTGGCCAAAAGAGTGAAACCACAGAAAAGAAAAAAGAAAACATAAAAAACAAATGTCCAGAGCTTTTTTATTGTTTCTGGGTCGCATAATTATTGATCTTTAATAATTTTTGCTTGGCCTCCGGCTGTTGACATTGACTTTGGTTACGCTTTTGGCCAACAACCTCACACAGTTGGCTTCGCAATATGAAAACTGTCGATTATCTCGTGCCACTTTACACATCTACCACCTATGCGAGGTGGGCATTACGTAAACAGCAAATGCCTCATGTCTGTCTCACAGTATTCTTTACCTTATTCATTTATGCGCTGCCAAAAGGGTACTCTCAAATTGTTATTCAATGTGTGCAGGGTATTACAAGTAGGCCTACATGACTTTATATTCTGCCTATATATATATTACTCAAGATATCTCTTGATATATGTGATAAGATATAGAAAGATATGAAGATTTTCTGTCTGTCTGTTTATATATATGATAACTAGTCTCTCAGATCTTTATGCTAAATTTCCCCTTTCTTCTCCTTTTTGTTAGAATACTGTTTGTTATATAGATGATAAATACTTTATTCATATAAGACGTTTTCTTCTCCTAACAGTATCAAGAAACACTTTGAAATAGATTATTTATATTATGTCTTCTGAAAACTCAATAAGACTCTATGTTCTGCTTACTATATCAGCTAGACCTCTCTTATATCCGCAAGAGTATTTCGACTTCTTCATTTACCTGCCAACTGTTAATTATTGCTATTTGTTGTTTCTTTCCTTTTCCCCTGTTGGTCTGCCCTACTTGTCCGGCCATAGGTGGGTGGGTCTCAGCTTAGTTGGTTTGTCTTTTTGTTAAGTACGAGTCAACCCAATCCCATTCCAATCCAATTCCATTTCCAATACCTGTTCGTGACTCATCGAGCGCTTTGGTCGTTTGGGCCAGCCCCAGTGCGAGACTCAATCACAGTTACGTTTCATTTTGAATAGCTGGTTATTTTACTCCCTCTCACTCTCTCACGCTCTTTCTTTCTCTGTCTCTGTCTCCCTGTTTTAATGCTTCTGTGGATGCTGTTGCACGTAGTGACCCAAACTCTGTGCCACTCAGCGGCGCATTGCCAAATCAATTGAAAATTCATCAATTAAAATCAAGTGGTTCCTCGTTCTCCATCTCGTTTTTATACACTAGCTGAAGCTCGGGAGGCAGGCTGGCATTAATTTTGTCACGAACTGTGTGAGGCTCGCACTCAAGTAGATGTCTTAGATGGGTTTTATTATATATGTATGGTGGACGTGATCAGCACGATGCTCGCTGCTTGCCTCGACCTATGTGAACTAGGCGCTAAATGAAGTTATTTAGCTAAGAGTTAGTAGAGCTGCGTTTTATATGATGATCTATAGATATATCATATATTTACATGATAATCTGTCAGAAATTATATCACAAAGTTGCCTTGGAAATTGTAGCCAGAAAATTAAAGTATAAGTAAAAATTAGTAATCAAATTTTATTCAAAACAATCATCAAACAATTATTTCAGATTTCATTTAGTATTAGTTTCAAAGTTTCAATACGTGTTTTCTTTAAGTTCAATTGAAATTTTTAAAAATATATATATATTTTAATTATAAGAAATATATATATATAAACTTTTTATTTATTTTTATCAACTTACTATCAAAAATACTTGAAAATATTATTTTATTACAAACATTCGTGGATTATCTTGAAATTTTCTGCTGCTAGAGTATTTTAACTTCATCTCGAACTTCTTCAAAATTGTTCTCTCTCGCTCTGTTTTGATATTTCTTTTATTGAATTCAATTCAATTACGAGTTTTCAAATCTGAGTCTTGCTCCATTTGAGTTGGGGGCAACTTTCACTTGGCGTCTATTACTCGCTTGGCCACATTGCGGTCAGTCTACAGTTGCAGTCGGCTGAAAGCTAAAAAAAAAAACATACCATCATCATTGCCATTGCCATCATCATCATCATCCTTAACACATTCATCAGCTCTCATATCCTAGCTCGAAGGCCCGTTTTTTTTAATCCCTTTCATATGTAAATTTCACTTTATGCTCAAATTTTGTTTTACGCTTCGCTTTTTCATATACACACATACATATGCATAGCTGTATGTATGTATATATATACATATATATTTCAATATTTTAAAGTATTTTAAGCACTAGTTTTAACTGCTTTCACGCAAATGCATTTTTGTCTAATACACACACACACACACACACATACATACATATATATATATACTCGCTCGCTCGCTCACATACACACATACATACATACATACATATATACATACATAACGCTTTAATTTCATCTTGTTTACATTGTTTTCTTCTTCTTCCTTTTACGTTTTCTCTTTCACATCTTTGTTTTTGCATTTCGCCGCATTCGTAACGTTTAATTTGCTGCTAAAAACAACAACAACAACAACTACTACAATAACAACAACAACAGCAGAAATATGCGTTGGCTGAGGAAGGAGGCAACATGCAGCAACACCAACAGCAACACCAACAGCAACAACAACACAAACAACAACAACAGCACACAGCTTAACACAAACAACAACAACAACAACATCAAATACTCACCATAATAACAACAACAGCAACAATTGCATCAACATCAACAAACAACATAATCATCATCATCTTCATTATCAACAACAACAACAACAACAACAACAAACAATTGCTGCCAAACTGCAACTTGCAACTTGCAACCAGCAACGTGCAACCTGCTGCTATTTCCTGTTGTTTGTTGTTTGTCAATTGCCAAAAACAAAAATCTTATCTTCGAAGCAGCATTTGGAGCCAGCCCATTGTGCCCCGACGCGCTTCTCAAGCTGATTGAGGAGCCCACAGTGGAATGTTGGAATACCCACAGCGATTCGCGCGCAACATCCCCAATTCCTCTGGCAACGCACCGCCACAGCTGCCGCAGCATCAGAACTATCAGAGCTGTCGCCAATTGGCACCGAACTCACCTGCTCACCATCAGCGTCACTCTTCGCTGTCCCAACAGCAGCAGCACCAACAGCAACAGCAACAACAACTGCAACAGCAGCAGCAGCTATCGCTGCAGCATCATCGCACACTGTCGACCGCCTCCAGCTGCAGTGCCCAGCACAAAAGTGTGACCTTTGGCCAGCCAGCGAGCAGCGGCTGCCCGGCGCCGATCGACTACAGCAACGGGGGCAGCAGCAGCGGTAACTCCAGTTGCAGCAACGCTGGACAACAATCAATGGCGGGCAACATGAAGCACGGTAAGCAGACGATTTATCATTATAATAATATGACATAGGCGCAAACAAAGATCTCAAGTGTGAAGAAGAAGATTGATTGCTATATTTATCGAACAAATAGAAGATTTCCTAGATAAAACACTTAAAGTTTAGTTGCTACTTGAATGACAGTTGTAGGATATAGATAGCAACAGGGGAAATTGGAATAGAATTGCTTAGTGTTTATTATATACATATGTATGTGGTACAAATCTTATATATGTAGAATATAGATACATAGATTTATATATACAAAATATTTGATATATGATTTATGTTTATGTGAACTATATTACAGAAAGTTATGGTAGACATTAGTTGATATTACATAAATGCTACTACATATATCTTGAATAAATACAATATCCTAAATATGGTATACAAAATCGTTTTCGACACAAAGATTAAATCTAGAAATATTCTTAAATCTTTAAGTATTTTAATAAAAATCTTTAAGTAATAAATCTAGGTAAAGCTTCATATTCAAATATTAAGAAAAAAATATTATAAATATTAATCGTTACGTTAAATATTTTTAGAAACTTAATTTGATATGAGGTATAAACGATTCCTTAAATCTATAAGAAATTACGATGTTTTAAGAGGGTAGTACATTGATTAAAAATGTATATGAAATATACTTTAAAGATCACATCGTACAAGTGCCCACAGATGTAATCCGAGATATGTATATATCACAACCTTAAACAAAGTCTTAATTGAATCGGTTCCTTTTTGTTTATTTCCAGGCAAATCTCAGGAAGACGTTTGCTACGTAGTAGCCAAATATGATTATGCAGCCCAGGGCGCTCAGGAGCTGGATTTGCGGAAGAACGAGCGCTATTTGCTGCTGGATGACTCCAAGCACTGGTGGCGCGTCCAAAACAGTCGCAATCAGTCCGGCTATGTGCCCAGCAACTATGTGAAGAAGGAGAAGCCCTCGCTCTTCGACAGGTGCGTGTGTTGTCCGGTTTTCGCTTGCAGAGATCCAACGAATCCAACGAAACTCCACTGTGTATACCATTATGAAAAAGAAACTCACTAAAAACTAAAAATTTAAGTATTCTTTTTATTCTGATTTCAGCAGAAATAAGCTACTAAAAAAAAAAAAAAAAAAAATATGTCGAGTTTGTTTTCTACTCCAAATGTTTTGCTTTCCTCTTGTACTTAGTTCTCCAACTGCTTTTCGGCTTTAGTATTGTATAACAAATTCATTTATCACCTAATTTGTATTTATATAAATATTTTTTAGTTGTCCCGAGTAGAAAGTCTTTCTAATATCTGTTCCTTCCTTCCACCCGCACGAAACACACCCACACTCAAAAACTAAAGCCCCGTCTGGTTGCCCCTCCACTGGAAGCCCCAAAATTAAGTCTAAGCCAATAACTCTCTAATCAAATAATATACAAAAAGAACCCTCCGAAACCCAGTAAAATTTGACTGGAAACCCAACTAGTTGATATTATATTAATGTTTGCCATTTCACAATCATCTCCATTTCTTTTGTAGCATCAAGAAGAAGGTGAAAAAGGGTTCCGGTTCAAAGACGCTGCCCAATTGTTCGCCCTCACGCCAAATCGAGAGTCCAACCATGTCGCGACGCTTGCCGCCCGATCCGGCCGAGGCCATCGGCACCGCCATTGTCAAATACAACTATCAGGCGCAGCAGCCGGACGAGCTGTCCCTGACCAAGGGCACACGCATACTCATACTGGAGAAGTCGAACGATGGCTGGTGGCGTGGCCAGAGCGGCAATGCGGTTGGCTGGTTCCCCAGCAATTACACAACCGAAGATTGTGATAACGATGGCGAAATACACACCTATGCCATGGCGGAGAACGTGCTGGACATTGTGGTAGGTATCAATATCTAATGCCAAGCTATCCTCATCTCAATCTCTCTCTCTCTCTTCATCGTGTTGGCAGGTGGCGCTCTATAGCTTCACATCGAACAATGATCAGGAGCTGTCGTTTGAGAAGGGCGATCGCCTTGAGATTGTCGATCGGCCCGCCTCCGATCCGGACTGGTATAAGGCACGCAATAATCAGGGTCAAGTCGGTTTAGTTCCACGCAATTATCTACAAGAGTTGAACGACTATTTGGCCACGCCCTATCGCAATACCAGCGGCAATGCTGGCAACGGCAATGCCACCGGCAGCAACGGTGCCAACACCACCGGCAACGGCGGTGACTCCATGGAGCGACGCAACGACTGCAACAACAAACCGACGCAGCCCAGCCAGCCCATCGAGCGACCCAATTTGGCTGGCAAATCCTGGTACTACGGGGCCATCACGCGCAGCCAGTGCGACACAGTTCTCAATGGCCATGGCCATGATGGCGATTTCCTCATCAGAGACAGTGAGACTAATGTGAGTGAACGAATGGATTGTGATGCCAGGAGAAGTAAATGAATATGCTAACGCTCTCCTGGAATCACCCATACA